TATTATTATTATTATTCCTAATGTTTTGTTTATAGTCCTCCTAGGCAATGACTTGGGGGAAAACGGATGGGAAAAGGCAAGGGAGGCTGCTTTACCAGTTCTTTAAAAGGCAGCTCAACTTCTTTAAAACTGGCCACTCCTACAAACTAGGGGTAAAACAGCAGTACAAAGAATGCCATCTTTTAAAATAGGAACTATAAACACAGAACTGTGAATAGTTTTTCTCCACTGCTTATGTTTTGTTTATTGTTCCTATTACAGAAGAGACTGTCTGCATCCAAGAACATTCAAACAACTAAGAGAAAACGAAAAGCAACATACAATTGTTTATGATGTTGTCCAGTTTGTACATCTTGAACTAGACAGCATGACTTATCAGTGAAAGACATCCCACACCTACATAATCTTTGAGGCATAGCCTGTAGTGGGAAAACGTAGCATGTCAGAAAAAGGAGAAACAGTTCTCAGAATATTGCACTCCATTAACATCAACTACACTGAAGTGCTCTAACAATTTTTAAAAGTTACTGGCAGTGATGAAGTGCATAGAAAGGCAGCTAGGAACTAGAATGTGTGTGAGACGGTGTCTGGAGTGAGATAGGAGATGACAGAATGATAATGTAATTATATTTCAAATATTGTCTTGAAATTTGCTGCTTGTTAAACACCTGGTAACAAATCATCTACAATTCTGAAAAGACAATTTCACTGTGTCATAATTCTTAATCTTAATATACTGACTAAATCCAAGCATGCTGATTAAATTCAAGCTCTCAGATCCATGTGGACCTTCCTTTGAAACACCAAGAATAGCCCACAGAAATAAGATATGTACCTTTTGTCTCCAAGCGTTTGCTTTGTATTTTGGAATGCTGTTGGGGAGTGACTGACCGTTTCTCTTGCTATGCATATAGATTTCCCCCTAAGACATTTAGCTAGTGTTGCCCAATCACAACAGTGCTAGCCACAACTCTGGCAGACCCACTGAATCAACTGCTGAATAAATCTGTCAACATTTATATTAATCCATGATTCAAGGGGTCTACTCTGGTTAGGCTAGCCAAATGGATACAGCCCAGTCTCAGAACACAAAACTTTTTGCACCTCAGAGGAACTTTAATTATCAAGATTGATACACAGCACAGGCTGTCTAGGTAAATCATTTTGAAAAAGGTACCTGAAATGGTTTCTCTCCAGTATGAACTAGCTGATGCCGTTTTAGCTTTGAGCTCTCCACAAAGGCCTTGCCACATTCTGCACAGACGTGTACCCGGGGTCCGTGAGTGTGCAGATGCTTCCTCATGGCTGAGTTATCCCTGAACATTTTTGTGCAACCCTTTAAAACAAGAAAAGGCAATGACGTACAGGCAGTTTCCTTGTTTCCTTAACTGCTGCTAGACAAGTTCCAGGACCTGATTTGTCATCCATCTAGTTACAATCCAATTCAGTTACAGGAGAAACTTATTTCAGAAGGATAAAAGAGGCCAGTTCTAAAGGGCTGATTTCTAGGAAAGGAGAAAGAACTGCCAGGGATCACATGGCTAAGAGATTCTCTAAAGATCATATACTGTATTTGGGCCCAAAAAACATGCCTCCAAGTGGGGGGGTCGTCTTGTACGCCGGGTGCACTGAATGACGCGGGGCCGCGCTGGCCGGGGAGGAAGGCAGGCGGGCAAGCAGGCAGTCGGTCTGGATGGAGGTACTACATTTAAAAGACAGCTAACTCAGGACCAACCACGTTAGATTCAGGTATCTAGTTTCACTGTATGTACACTCAAAGTAGAGTTCTTTCACAATTTGTCTCATGCTGTAGGTTCAAACTAATTTTGCTATAGCCTTTACAAATCCATTTAGCATTTTCACTTTTAACTCATTTTAACTCATTTTCAGTATTTTTTAAACACCTCTGCTTGTTTTTTTTACATCCTTAATAACTATAGCTGTTTTATAAGGTAAATTTTTGCTCTTCTATAAGAATCTGATTCCCTACATAGTGTGCAATCATCTACAACAAGCATGGCCAACTGATGAAACTGCTGAGTTCCGTTTCGTTTTAAACTACGCTGGTCACATAGATCGGAACTTAAGAAATATTACATTATATCCCTGTATCTAGAAGACATATCAGAAAGAAATGGTAGCTTAAGGAATTAGCTTCAGCATTTTATAGCCATGAAAGGTAATAAAATTTGCCCTGCAAGTGCAAATTCTCTGCAATCATATTATTTTACTCACTTTGTGAGGACATGCTATCGTCCGTGGAGCATCATCTTCTTTGATTTTTCTTGGCTTCATTCTTTTAGAGAAAAACACAGTAGCACTGATTAGTGAACAGCACATAGCTTCTTATCTGCTCTGTATTAGTAAAGTAACCCCTTAGCAAAACATTCACATTAAATTGTAATTACAGTGGAAGAGCCTCTAACTAACTGGTGCAGCAGCATGGACTATTCAGTTGCTCAAGAAACTAAAGATTTTATAGAAAAGCATCTGTAAATAAAATGTTCTGTTTGGTGAGAACTAAAACATCACATGGGGGCAGCAAAGTTCACGAGGGTTTTGAAATTTCACTTTATATGTATACTTAGGGACAGAGAGTGACATAGGGGTTGAGGAAAAAGCACAGAGCAGAAAAGTACTCAGAGACAGCTTTAGAGAAAGTAGAAGACTTGAGAATTCTATGGGCAGCACAGTAAATTATCTGCAAAATGGGGTAAATAGAAGAGCCCTACTAAAGAACATCAGAATACTTGGTTAGGAAGGTCAATGAATCATGATCAAGATACTGGCATATGACAGCAGGGTTTGGCCTTTGACAAAGGTACTCTTGCAAATGTGGCTTCTGCTATCAGCACAGCATTGTGACCTTAAAAGAGGAAACAAGAGCCCAAAAGCTGAGCTAAAATTCACATACTGTCTTCAACCAACACACATCCACTTCCAAATCTTTGGCTGTGGCCATTAAATCCATACTATCAACTCTTTAAATACTGGCAAACAAGGTTTGTTATTTTCAAGGTGGAATGGTTTTAATTCACCTTTGAAGGAAAATTCCATCACCAATTCTTGCTAAAACCCAATTAAAAATAATTTTAATGGCTTGAAAGCAAAACCTGTGGCTCCCATAATCTTTAAAGCGTACGTCATGTATCTATAAAGATTATCATCTTTGCATTTTAGTAAAAATAGCTAATTATTACTCCAGCAGGATTCCACATGCCACTGGACTTCAATAGCCAGTGACCTCAACTCAAGAGTAAAAAAATAAAAATAAAAGGTCACTCTCATTGAGAAATATGAACGAGTATAACAAAGTGATGTGTTTATTAGAGCAAATGTTCTCTTACCTTGCAAATTCTGCCAACTGCTTGGGGTCTGAAAGATCAATGCCAGGTATTCCTCCAGGTGGTAATTTCTTGCCGGTCATGTATTCTGAGTAGTCGGGAGGGGAATTCTCGCCAATGATCTGCTCTTCCACCACAGTTTCATGGTCAATGTCTTTCTTGTCATCTGAAATGATTAGAGAAAACTGAACTTTGATTTAACATCCACGAAGGACAACACCAATAGCCTGGAGACTACAGTGGTGCCTCGCTTAATGAGCTCAGAGTTTAACGACGAATCTGCATAGCGATGTCGCTTTTGCGATCGCAAAAGTGATTGCATTGCGACGTTTAGATAGGCAAAAACTCGCATTGCGATGATCGGTAAGCATTTCGCTTACCGATCTTCGCATTGCGATGTTTTTACAACAGCTGATTGGCAGTTCCTAAATGGCCACCGCAAGTGTTTTCGCGCCCTGCCCTCGCTTACCAAGAGCGCGAAAATGGTGGTGCTATGGAGGAACTTCGCTGAATGGTGAGTTTGGGCCCCATAGGAATGCATTAAACTAAGTTTAATGCGTTCCTATGGGGTTTTTCGATCCGTTTAGCGATGTTTTTGCATAGCGACAATTAATCCGGAACGGATTAACGTCGCTATGCGGGGCACCACTGTATTTCTAGAACTAGCATATTTGGGGATTGTATACTGTAGCTATTCTTATGTACAAAAACAAAAGGCTTGATCTAGATCTTTACGAAGAATCCTACAGGTATAATAAATGTTATTCATTTGTAGGAAACCGCTGCTTATAAACATGTACTTTATGCAACAGCCAACTATAAGAGACTAATTATACTGCTCATACGTTAATTGTATCTTTCAAATAATCAAGATGTGCACAGGGAGGACTCCTCGCAAATTACGTTTTCTAAGAGGAGAATCCTTTTAAAAATTATTAGCTTCATTTAAATCTCTTCTCTTCAAGCAGCTCAAGGCAGCATAGACACTCTCCTCCTCCTCAATTCCCACCCCCAAAACAACCCTGTAAGAGAGATCAGGATAAGAGAGTGACTGAACATAACTCAATTTCATTAGGTTCTAATCCCCCCCCCCAAATTTGCTTCAAGGGAAAAATATAATATATTGACTGAAATCCTGTTGCATAGCTCCATGTATGCAATGTGAAGAAGCTGTGGTAGCCTTAGAGAAAAGCAGGGGAAGGGCAGAAGTGTTATTCACAAAGCGCTTCTGCATGCATCCCACACAATGGGTGAAAGAGAACCACATGGCTGACTGCGCAATCCAACTGTGAAATGCTGGTTGTCTCAGCATAACAAAACATACTTCTGCTGCCATAACTTTATACTAGAACAAACAGGATTTCAACCAATGTCCTAAATTAATATGTCTCTATCTGACAAGAGAATACACATGCTAATATTTCAGGCAGACTGAAAAAATACTGTTCAATAAACAAAACAGATTCAGATATATAAAGCAATGAAAAATTTTAAATAACTCAACTACTACTCTCTACTTGATGATGGCTTCACTGAAACTAGGCTACCAACCACATGCATACTTTATGTCAGCTGAGTTAACACAAGCCTTTTCCTTCCTGCTTCCCAAGCCCTTTGTTTCCTTGTATCTAGAGTTTTTTATGAAATCTGCTTGCCCATAGTCATACAGCAGCAGCCTGAAATGTGCCAGCTCTGTATTTACAGTATAAAAGTATAACTATTTTGCTTGCAAGTAAGAACAACTGCAAGTAGCATAACACTTACAAACTGGTCAATTAGGTTTTTATTTTAATACAACATCGTTTAGTCGTTTGCGACTCTTCGTGACCCCATGGACCAGAGCACTCCAGGCGCAGCCTGTGAAGATCCAATATAAAAAAATCTATGTACAACAGACACTGTCAAATAAACCTAACAAACAAATTAATGCAGGAAGGAAGAGACAGGCCATCCACCTGGTTAACATGGAGCCTGAGGCAGCCACAGACTCTATGTTGGAAACTGAGATCCAGTTCTTGTCTGAAACGATCATCAGCCATGGGCCAGAAAGATTTCAGGTCTCTACATATCTTATACTTTTTTTCTCTTTTGCCAAGCAGAAGAAGCTTTTGATATGGCTTTATCAATTTTGTTAATAACTGAGATACCAGAAAAGCTTGTGGCTCACATTCTAATATTCAGACTTGTGTAGGTCAATCTTCTGATATATACATTCAGTTAGTCATTCCGGGTTCAAACAGAATCAATGCCACCAGATTTTGCACAGCTGACAAGAGGCCAGAGACCATCAAATGACACTTCAGCTGCTCAGAAAATCATGGACAGAGCTACCTTGGTACCTGAAAGACAACCTCTATCCTTTCCTCTCTTCAACTTCCTAGGGGCACCTTGTTGAAATAAGACAGCATACAGGAGATATTTTCTCTTACCGAAAAAAAATTAACATTTATAAAAATGCATCCAACTGCCCCTTGCTTCCAATAAACTCAAGGAAGAGGAAATCCAGCCAAAGAGGCACCACAGCTGATGCTTACACTAGGGGTGGGAACTAGTTTGGGTACCAGCTGATTTTTCTTCCGCAGCAAGAAGATGACAAGCAAGCAGAGAAGCTACACAAACTCTGCTGGTGCATCTAGAAACTCACTGAAGTGACAGGTGGCAGTGGGAGAGGGAACTTTTAATGTATCTGATCAGACCTTGAAGATTAACAGTTCACTGACATACAGAGCGATTCCTACTGTTAGGAAAAGAGATGGTGTGTATATGAGTGTGTCAGAGGACCCCTGACAGACCAGATCAAAATTTATCACAAGTGTATCTGGTCCTAAAGAATCAATGAATGCAATAAACAACAGAACAGCCATTATAGTTTGAAACCAGTGACAGCAATGTAACAATTTACCTCTGTGAAAGCTGTTTATAGCTCATACAAGACCCTGGGACAAGAGTTAATAGGAAAAATTATATATCTAATGAGAGGTCATGAAGAACATTGCCAAGCAGGAAAGCACACATGGAACCCAAATATATATGTCTATGTATTCAGAACACTTCTGTTTGGCATTTATGTGACTGACACATCAACAAATACACTGTAGGAACATTGCTTGCACTTTCTACTGGAAAATCTTGAAAGTGTCATTAAGGACAGGGGAAATATGATATTCACCTTTAAGCTCAATTCCAAACTGATGTAAAGGGCTAGCCATATTTCTGTTCATTATAAGAAGTGGCTCAGTCTTTACGCATGTTTTCCTTATTACCTCTTTTCCCTTTTTCCGTATCTTGAAGGATTTCCTATTTTCCTCCCTCCCTATTTTTCCCTTTCTCTTTTGATCTTCAGGTTATACGAAAAGGAAGTGTCCTTTGTAGTGGATTTGCTGACCACTACAGTGCACAGCACCTATGAGTTCTTCTTGACTGTATTGCTTATAATCTATTCAGTTAAAATGTTAAGAAATTCAGGATGAATCGGCAATATATGGGCTGAAGAAAATGTTACTAAAAAGATGAAGTGTAGGATTTGAAAGACAGGATGTATCATAATTCCTTACATTAGCTGTTTCATTTTGTATCCTTATGCCATTATTATAATTTGTTCGTTCTCAGGGTGGATTTGATTTAATTATAATTTAAAGCAATCTAATTTTTTTAAAAATCATTGATTTTTATCCATCCTGTTCATTCTCTTGCAGTAATACTTCCTAATTTATCCACTGTCCGTTTTCTAATCTAGATGGATTTCCACTTATATTGGCATGTAATCATTAATAGCACAAAGGCACTACTTTTCTATACTGTGTTATTAGTAAACTCATTAATGTATTATATTCTTGAATTGTAAATCCTTGTCCCTGGTTTACAGTGTATCACTGTGAGTAAAAATGTAAGCCCCAATTAACTGACACTGCTGGGCAGCTTAACGATTCAGGTATCTGGCTGCAAAGCCAGAGCTTGGGAGTTAGATTCCCCACTGTGCCTCCCTGACAGGGGCTGGACTCAATGATCCACAGGGTCCCTTTTAGCTCTGCAATTCTAGGATGATGATAATGATGATTCTGAAGGATTCTGAGCCAATTCTACAGAACTTCAATTTCCTGAAGGGACAAATAGTGGAACAAGAGCTAATCACTGGATCAGATTAAACCAGTCCAGTAACTAGCTATGTTCAAAGGGGAGAAAATGCCTTTTAGAGATCAGGCATTATAAACATGACACAACAGATAATATGTCAACGGTGGGCTAGGCACACAGATGGGAGCAGACTGAATTTAGACAAGAATGTAAAAAGCTGCCTTACAATGAGCTAGATCTTTGGTCCATCAAGCCTACTACTTTCTGACAGCAGAAATTATGAAATCCTTATCACTGAAAATCAGGTGCATTCCACTTTTGGCAATCTGCACCTTATACATTCATTCTACAGCTCTATGGGCTGGCAGAAGATGGACAGAGAAAGGAAATCAGCTTCAGCACACCATAATCAACAGACAGATATCTGGATCCATCTCAGTAACATTATTGTGATTTTTTGACATAACAGGCAATGCAAAGGAGATGCTGGTTCTGAAAGAGACATCCTGCATATGCTAGGAAGATAAGCCACTCTGACTACATGGGTCATCTTGTACACTCCTGCTGTATCTATTCTGCAAGTAACTTAACTATTTGCTTTGCTTTTACAAAGCTGTGCCCTTAGTTTCTTCTTAAGCAATAAAAAAGACATCCTATGATGAGGATAGCCCTGGACTGTTAGCTACCGTATTTTTTCAGAATGGACCGAGGATGCATGCAAAATACAAGGAACAGAAGTCAAATAGAAAACAGCTATCAGTAATTAAAAATGCTTACTCTCTCAAATGCTGTAATTTTTACAGAACTATTTTCGCACTCTGGCACACCAGTTAGAAAACTGATTTAAATTACTTAAGAGACAATGAATTGTGACTTTTCTTTTTTAAACTATGACATATGGATGTTTTTGGAAGCTGGGGGGGGGGGGGGNTTTTTTAAATTTGACAATTGGGTGTTTTTGGAGCGTGGGGGGGGGGGAGAGAGCAAATGAAGTCTTTGACTTTCCCACTTAAGAGTACAGTGGTGCCTCGCTTAGCGAATGCTTCGTTTAACGATGAATTCGCATAGCGAGGGGGTTTCTGGGGGAAACTACTGCCTCGTATAGCGAGGCAGTCTATGGAGGAAACTCGCATAGCGATGTTTCCCCCATAGGCCCCCGGCGGGCGCTTCG